ATGTATATACATATATACATGAAATGTATGTATATATATATATATATAATATATATATATATATAAAATGTATATATACATATATATATGTATAATGTATGTATATATATATATATATATATATATATATAAAATGTGTATGTATATATATATATATATATATATATATATATATATAAAATGGGTATATATGTATATATAAAATGTATGAATGTCTGTATATATATATATATATATATATATATATATATATGTAAATATATATATATATATATATATATATATATATAAAATGTGTGTGTATATATATAATGTGTATATATATATGTATGTATATATATATATATAATGTGTTTTATATATATATGTGTGTGTATATATATAAAATGTGTATGTATATATATATGATGTGTATATATAAAATATGTATGTATCTATATATATATATAAAATTGTATGTATATATATAATGTCTATATATATACAATTTATGTATGTATATACATATATATATATAAAATGTGTATGTGTGTGTATATATATATATAAAATGTATATATATATATATATATAATGTTTATGTGTATATATATATATAAAATGTGTATATATATATATATATATATATATATATATATGTATATGTATATATATATATATATATATATATATATGTGTGTATATATATATATATATACAAACATATTGTGTATATATATTTATATGTGTAATGTGTGTATATATATACACATTGTATATATATATATATATATATATATGCATTGTGTAAATATATATATAAGATATGTATATATGTATATAAAATGTTTGTATGTATATATATATATATATATTTATATAATGTTTGTATATATATAAAATGTGTATATATATATGTATATATACATATATATATAAAAATGTGTATATATATGTATATATATATAATGTGTATATATATATATATATGTGTATGTATATATATATATATATATATATATATATATATATATATATATTATAGTGGTACTCATAGGAAAGAGCTCAATATCAGTCATAGATCTAACATATTTACTAAGATTAATGTGAGGTACAGCCCACTTTTCCGCCGCGTGATTCCCCTGTGTGCTACGAAATATTGTAAAAAATAAGAAGTGAGAAAGACTACGCTCAACTGAAGTTGAAACGGGACTCTTTTTTTTGTTCATTCGACCAAACATTTGAGAAATCGTGAAAAACACCGGTCGTAGGTTTCATGCTTAATAAGCTGCACAAATATTTGAATATGAACATTGAAATAAAGTAAGTTTATATTTGTGTGTATTTTTTAATCTATGGTTTTATTTCATAATATTTAAATGTATACCCTTTAAAAATGTTGCTAAGTGTGCCGTGATATTTTCATTTGTTCCTAGGTGTGCCGTTGTTTGAAAAGGTTGAGAAACACTGACCTAAGTGATGTTTAAAAACAATCATAATACGAAGGCATTATTATGTTTCTGTCGTGCATTGACTTCGTCAGTGGAAATTCTTGTAGAGTGTCAACAAAACTCTTCACAATTGAAGAACTCTTCGGAGAATCGCCGCAGAGTAAATGATGGCAATTTTCTGGAAGTCTACAATCTTGCAATCAATTCTAATTTTCCTCGAACGTTATTTCAAGTAGCTGGTGTTCCAAGCGCAACAATTAGTACAGGAATTACTTCATTAATGGTGTTCCATAGTTTTCTCGATCCATTCAGCCAGGTCCTGGTGTTTTTCAATATTTTCAGTTTCTTACGTATGGAACATGGAAATCAATAATTTGATAATTGGTATTTTCCTTATCTATCACAATATGGTCGAGTCTTTGTGTTTCAATGATGTGATCTGTCTGAACCTAGAAATCCCATAATATCTTGTCACTGTCATTTTCTGCCACTGCTTCTGGTTGATTTTCATACAATTTCTCTTTCATATTAAAGCTAAATTTACAGCATACTTCCCAATGGATTCTCTTACCAGTCCAATCATGTCGTCGCTTATAGTATTTCTGTACCAAACTGGGGCATTCACCGAGTTGACTGTCTCATCAGCTTTACCCATACATATTGCATTTGCTTTCTTGTTATAAGTTCTCTATCATTGCCTTAATTACATTCGTTCTGATGGCTTGCTACTGTGCTGCAAATATAAGTGACTCTCTTTCTTTATACTACTACTATTACGATTATTATTATTGTGTTTTACTTTTGTATTATGTTAGTACGAGTTGCCCCCAAGTCTCAACAAGCTTTTGTCTCAGAATGTGCAAGCAGATGAGAAATCGGTGTACGAGTATATTTCATATATTATTCATATATTTTAGGACAACCACAGATTTGATCCACGTATTTGTTTGCCTCATTTCCAAAAGCTCCAATAAAAAACAAAAAAAAACAGACAATTTTGTTGTCCTGAGATGCCACATTTTACTGATTTCTACCCCGAGGTCGTTGTATTTATTTAGTTTCTCAAATATTTTCAAAGATGTGTTATTAAATGGTATTCTATTTTCAACATGATTTTTCACAGTCGATTTGCCTAGATTTCCCTATCAGTGGGAACACTGAAATTCCATATTTGATAATAATA